CTGCTGAACTAGGCACTGTGCAAACAGAGAACAAAGAAGGTTTCTGCTCAAAAGCTTAAAATCTGAAGGTAATCTTAAAATTGGGTTTGGTCAGGATTTCCTCACTATTTCCAAACTGTTGTACAGTCGGATGTAGCTGAGTGATTTATTCGGATTTCCAGGCCATACAAGCTTCGAAATGGTAACCCCTCCAAGCCATAGGAGAGGTGATGTACATACACAGAAACCTATTCTGACATGTGTTAAGAAAACTCTTAGACCAGCACAGCAACTTTCCTTCTTAAGCAAAACCGCTTTTGTTTTGTTCTGCAAAAATGCCTGTGCAACTCGCCTTCTTTGAAACAAACACCAGATGTGTTTTGCTGTGGTTCTGGATCTCACTCTGACTTCATAGCAGCTAAGAAATTGCTTTTCTGAAAGAGTATGTTTAGGTAGTTAATCATTAAGGTCTGCAGGGTAATCTTGGAGGAAAAAATAACTGAATGAACAAGGCCTTACAATATTCAGTATTTCAATTTAGCCATTTATTTATCTTGAGGGTGCAGGGATGTGAGATTGCTCTGTGTGTAAATGAGATTCTGGGACATGTACCTTTCTTCAGATACAGACTTGCTAAAAGATAGTCTAAAGGTAAGAGTTTAAGGAAACTCTACTTTCTTACCACCCTGTAGTTTTCCACCCTCGGGTAACTACTCAGAGACTCTGCTGGGAGCTCTGTCATGTCAGTGCCTGGCACAGAGCATGCCAGAAGTTCAAAACAATTTGCTAATTTTGTATGTAAATTCAAAAGTTACCTCTGCTTCATGGTCACTCTTTTTTCAATAGTCATACCTTTGCCTTGACAATGAAGGATGAAAATGAAATTTGATAAAAGCAATTCTCGACTCAAATGTACCAGTATCTAACCCAATAGTTATCACCTCTACCAAGACCTGCAACAGTCTGAGGAAGGATGCCTGGAACAGCAGTAATCCTCTTCCTGTTAAGCAGAGGAGGGGCTTGCACAGGATGCTGAACCACCCAACTTGTATGCTTTCCAAGGAGCTTTGCATTCTTGGCTTCAATATTGTGAAGGTCTTAAATGCCCTTGAACCACATTGTCCCTGATGTAGCCAGTGAGCCTCAAGTATCGGTGAGAACCCCCTCATAGGTGCCTCTGCTCAGTTTCTAGTTGGTCCTTTCTGTTGTCTGCCAGAAATCACCTTTAGTTCCTGTTGGGGCTGTTAGGTGGATGTCTGGCATCCCGTGAAACAGACTACTGGGTTTAATTTTATTTTTTTCTTTTGCTGTTAATCAACACAAACGGTTCTGCAGAAAAACAGAAGGCAAAGCAAAACTATGGGATAAAAATGAGAAGGAAGACATAATATTAGTGGTTTGATTACAGGTAGCTTGCTGTAACAGGTCAGCAGTTGGGAGCCATTACAAAGAAGGGGGAAGAGGGAATCATGATCCCAGAACGGGATATTTTCAACAACTGCCTAGGTAGGAAGAAACTACGATGTCAGCGAAGTGTTTGTGACTGCTAACTCCCGAAAGCCAGCGGGAGTGACTCCCTGTGGATGCTATGGAAATATAATTAGTATTGAGCATTCTGTTAATTTTACATGGAAACTAGCACAGCGATAGGTCCCCCTCCTGAGTTACTGAAGGACTAGTGCAAGGACTGAGGGTGGCAGTCAGGATAAAAGGAATAGAGAGGTAGAAGAAATGGCAACACGACTAAGATGTACAGGAAGTAATTCAAGGTTTAACAGTAGCATGAAGGAAAGTGGATTAAAAAGCCAGAAGTGAGCCCACAGGAGGAATGCGTGCATGCAGAGAAGGAGGTGTTGGATGAGCAAAGCAGAAAAGCACTTGCAGTGGAGTTGGTTAAGGTCTTGAGGGAGGTTTGAAAGTGTTTTATAGTATGAAAAATGCTACTAGAGGTCAGGTGCATGTATCGGCTGACCCACAGCAACTCGCCATGTGCTTTTAGTCCTCTGCAAATGCGAAGGGAAGATATAAACTGCAGGGAAAGATACTTAAGCTAAATTTTACCTTGTATTTGCAAGGAACAAGTTTAATGCAAATGTTGGTTACTGCAGCCCGACTATTAGTTACAGCTTATTATGTGGCAACTCAGCCGTGTGTCTCAACCTTCTTCTGAAGTCCAGCCTACAATCTGTGTGGAAAGATGCTCAGCAAACACTACAGGTTACGTTGCCCAACTGTTCTATCGTCATGCAGTTACGTTGCTTCAGGGGACTGACCCAGCTCCAGTCCGTGTGGGCTCAGAGATCTTTACGCTGCTCCTCAGTGCACAAGGCTTATATGCTGAATGTGAATTAATGATGAAGGGAATTGTGTGGAAACGAAGCTCGCTTTAAAAAACCTTATTACCTTGAGGTTGTTTAAACCGTAGAGAACAGCCCGTAGCAAAACAGGTAATGTGTTTGAAGCAAGATTATGGGCGGTGGGTTTGTTTTTGCTGGGAAAGAGAGAAATTATGAGGTGAGATACAGGAGGCTTTCTCAATCCTGAAAGGATTAATAGTCAGGGCGAGCTTTCCAAGCTAAGCAACCCCTGCTCTGGATGGAAAGTAGTAATGTATGGTAGAAAAGGTGAATTCCTCAATGACTGAATTTTAGGCTGGAAAAATATGATATTGGCAGTATATGAACGGTCATAATGAGGATAAACTTACTGCCATTCAGACATCCTTCAGGGCTGAGGGAGCACTGTTTATTAATAGTGTATTATCGGTCTAAAGTGTAATCTGAAATACGGGGAACTAGAAGTAGGTAAGAAAGGGTGTTTCAGGGGTGACTGTCTCATGCAGGGGGTAACTAACATCTTAAATTATTAAGGAATGTAACTGAAGCAAAGGATTCCAGCGTTATCTAGGCTGGCTGCTGGAGAAGGAAGACCCTGCAGGAAAGAGACAGACTAAAACCCTTAAAAGGTACAGTAGGTCTTAACAATTTTTCTTTTTTTCCTTTTAGTTTTATGTTTGTTTGGTGGTGGTTTGTGGGCTTGTTTTTTTTAATTAAGATGTCTGCAGGAGCTGTGTCCTATGCTGGCTCTTTTTTTCCCCTTCTTCAAATTACCTGTAAGGAAAAAAGCATTTGACCTTCTGTAAATAGGCTTGAGGTACTTGTTTATTAATGTGAAGATAAGAGACCATACAAGGGTCTCTGCAGCGTACATGTGAAGGTAACTGAATCAAGACCTCTGGTAGCAAGCAAGCAAAGGGGAATTTGGTGATTTTATTTATGGCTGCAGGCTGAAATAATTGATATTTTCTGATCGGGGAAGGCCCTGGACTTTGGATAGTCAGAGGCATTTCAATTTGTGATTGAAATTCTTTAGCAATGTTGCACGGAACTATGGCTGATTTTGCCATGCTCACCTCCAACCACTTTTATTAATGCATTGGTGGGTCTCTCTTAATTTATTAAAATTTTAGCCATTTATGTGAGCTCATCTTGTCTGTTTTGGTCCACAGGCACTAGGCAGTTAGTTGAAAGATTTTTACATGCACTGAAAACCTTTTGTGGCCTTTATCCCCAAGTCAAACCGCAGTTTCTGTACCCCACCTCTCCTGCTCAGCCCTTGCCCACATGCACACGCATTTGAAGGACGTCCAGGTGGCTCCCAAAAGGCAGACAGAGGTTTTAGGAAATGCCTGTGACCCCTAATCAGCCTGGTCCACGTAACTCCCTAGGGTAGAGGAGGGAATTCCAAAGTTTTGCCTAGAGAAGCACATATTTGTGTGTCACATCATTTCCAACCTTTTATTCTGGATCTGTAAACACCCTGTAAAAAAATGTCCCATGGCAATGTGGAGCCCACAGTAGCAGATTTAAGCCTGCAGACGGTAGACCTGTTTTTTCCATTTACTTTTCACAGGCCCTTTAGAAGTAGTTTGTGGGGTTTCCCCTGGGAATCTCAAGCCAGGGATTGCTGGTCACTGCTCTTGCTGTGCTGGAGAGTCAGGGAGAGGAGAGGGGCTCCTGCAGCAGGTGATTCGTAAGGCAGGTAAGCCAGTTGCCACCCGGAAGAGAAGGAAAGGAGAAGAAATCTCCTTTGGGAGAAACCAAACATTAGAGGAGAAGGCAGATTAAATGGAGTCCTGAAACAGGTAGGAAACTTGCGCCCTGTTGTGTGTCTCTCTCTTTCACGGCTGCTCTTACAGCTTTCTTACTCTTCTGGGTTCATGCCAAGATCATAAAAAACAGGTAACGCCACGTTCCATGCTGTGGAGCTCTCTGGAGACAGAGCAGGCGTAGTGTAACCGAGGAGATAAATCTTGAGGGACAAAGATGAAAGGGTGTTGGCTTGAGAGAGGATTCTTCAAATGCAAGGTGCCTCTATCTGTCACACGTGCAGAATTCTTAACAAGTCATCACAGAGCAGTGCACAGTCCTGACGCGGCCCTGGGCATGCAATGCAGTGGAAATACTCCACTCGGAAAACATCAGTGTCCTGTCATAAATTGAAACGATCAACTCCGTTACGTAGGTAGCACGGTTAACTTTTACGGTATCT